ACAGTCTCTCTCACTCTGTAACCCAGGCTGTTCTTCAACAGGTAATCCTCCTGCTTCAATATCCCAAGTGCTGAGATGTAAAACTCCATGCCTGGCTGGAAAAAAATCACTTAAAAAAGAATTTGAACACTTGAGCCCATGCCCTGACTTTTGTTACAAATCTGAATGGACTTTATGTAGTTGAGGTACTGGTAAATAAATAATAATATAGTCCTAGGCATAGTGGTATACTACTACCACCACTACTTGGGAGGTGGAGGCAGGAGAATCATTCAATGTCATTCTCAGCTGCAGATGAAATAGTCTCAAAAAAAGAAAAAAGAAGAAGACAGAACAGACCCTAGAACGAATGATTCTAGAATCTATTATTTTTAGAACAGAGAATATGAATTTTCAGATTAGCCATCAGGTGGCTAAGTCCACTTGTCTTAAATGATACTTATTGATTGCGCGCACTTGGGGGTTGAGGGGAGAATGCATGGAAAGATCCTAGGACAACTTTGCTAACTTAGTTCTGTCCTTTGACCTCTGTGTGCGGGTATCAAAATCAAACACTTTTACCTACTGAGTCACCTGGACTCAGTGAATTTCAATGAAAAGTTTTCATTAGTGTGGTCCCGAAGGTGTAAGCAATAGGGATCCATCTGGGTAAACTCTGTTAGCGTGTGCTTATGTCTGTGGTTTGCATCTCTTTCCTCTTGGTTGCTCTGTTCAAAGTTTTTATTTATTTTTGAGTCGGGGGCTCATGTAGACCAATCTGGTTTCGAACTCCCTCCCTATGTAGGCGAGAATGACCTCGAATGACCTCCAGCCTCCACCTCTCTAAAGCTGGAATCAGGCGTGCTTCACCACGGTGGGGTACATTGATTGTTTTTCAGACCAGAATTAGATTTGCACTTCCTGTTCCGCCTACACTGCGGGTTGCTAGGTTACACTTCTTTTTTTCTCTTTTCGCCTTTATAAACGTAAAACTTCATTTCCCATGAACACTTGCAAGTGTCGCCGTTGCGCGACGTTGCGTCGTCGCTCCGCGCCCTTTATACACACTTCCGCCCGCTAGCCACTTCCTTTCCTTTCGGTGGCGCGCGGCGGCAAGATGGCGGTGCAGATTTCCAAGAAGAGGAAGGTAAGCATCTGGGCCCGGCCCGGGGACTCGCGGCGCGTTTTAAAGCTGCCAGTGAGGCCCGCGACTCCGTGTCCGACCCCGGGCAGCGGCTGCCGCCGCCTGGCGTTTCCGCGGGGGCGCGGATGGACGTGGATTGTGTGCTGGGCCGGCTCCCGGCTAGCTCAGTGTGCCTGGGGAAGGGAGGGACAGACGCCTCAGGTCTGGGCCGAGGTGAGCACCGGGAGCCTTCAGGCCTTTACTAGACGCCTTTGAGAGTCCCTCGGTCGCCAGGATTAGTAACCCCATGGCGTAGCTTGAGAGCGTGAGCTAATCCGGCGTCTTTGGTAAGTGGAGTTTAGCAGCGCGTCCTCATCCGCACTGCAAGCCGCCTCCGTTGAAAGGCTGCGGACTTTGGCGTGCTCCCTCTGGGGACCTGCGGCGAAGGCGTCCCGGGCTTTTGTCGTGTGAAGATGATCAGGTTTGGAGATAGATGGCCTGCCTCTGCTCACGCACGTGCATCATACAGCAGTTTCCACAGTGCTGTTTGAGCTAGGGTTTGACCTCTTTCTCCACGTCCACGTTACACACGGTGTCCCTGCTGCGCTGTGTGAACGCTTGAGAGTAGATTTTTGTTTGGTGTGTGTAAATGGTTTAATTAAGACCCTTCGATGAAGAGGTGATGACGAGTCTGACGGAGGTGTTGTCTTTGTCCGGGGGGCCTCACTGTGCTATGTTCTGTGGCACAGCTGAAAGCACTGTGGTCAAAGAAACTTCCTAAAGATGACCTAGAGGCATTTGTCTGAGAAGGGTTGCTGCATTCCCGAAGGGCCATTGGGGTAGCACTGGGTAAGCCTCCGCCTATCTTGACTCTGAACTTGCTTTTGGTGTAGTTTGTGGCCGATGGCATCTTCAAAGCTGAACTGAATGAGTTTCTCACTCGGGAGCTGGCTGAAGACGGCTACTCTGGAGTTGAAGTCCGAGTTACACCAACCAGAACAGAAATCATCATTTTAGCCACCAGGTAAAAATTTTGTTGACTACTACCTGTAATCACTGTATTCTGAGGTGCTATGTAAATTTGGGACAACCAACCAGTGAACCTGGTCTTGGTGAGTGGAGTTGCTTTTTTTAACATTTGTTTCTTGGTAAGAGGGCAGCAGATCTCATTACAGATGGTTGTGAGCCACCATGTGCTGGGAATCGAACTCAGGACCTCTGGAAGAACAGGTCTTAACCTCTGAGCCATCACTCCAGCAGCCCCTGGAGTTGCTTTTCCAATAAAGACTTTACCTTAAAGTGTGTTCTTGCTATGTAATATATGACACATGAGGCGTTGGGAATAAATTAGAACTTTTCCCTCTGCAGAACACAGAATGTTCTTGGTGAGAAGGGTCGTCGGATCAGAGAGTTGACTGCTGTCGTTCAGAAGAGGTTCGGCTTCCCTGAGGGCAGTGTAGAGGTGAGTATCCCTGGCTTATACCAGGGTGTGTAGAATGGATTTAGATGTTGCTTTCGTAGAATGGTGATTCTGGAAACCTTTGACGTAGCCGGTGGATGGATGCTTTGTCAGTGTTCTTATAAGCAATAGTGATTTATTCTGGCACCCAGACGGCAGAGCTAATGATCTCAGTTTGCGGGTGGCCTTCCATATAGAAGTGACACATAAGGTGAATTGGATGTCCCGTCCCTCCCTGGTGTGGCTGTGGAGAACCAGAAAAGGGCAATGGGGCATGCTCTTAAGGGACATTACAATGACTTAATTAAATAAACGTGTCCCTTGCTTCCTTTTTTTTAAAGCTTTATGCAGAAAAGGTGGCCACGAGAGGTCTGTGTGCCATCGCTCAGGCAGAGTCTCTGCGTTACAAGCTCCTAGGAGGACTTGCTGTGCGAAGGTGAGTATCCTGAGACTTGATGGTCATGCCCTTCTGTGGAACAGTGTGTGCCTGACATTTTGTTAGCAGAGAGCTCTTCAGTGACCGGACCATCTGGTCTCTGCTGGTGTAACCATAAGGTACCCCATGGCCCTCCTGAACTGTTAAGCTAACAAGACCTAGTGGAGATTCTGTTGTGGGTGACCACTTAGAAGACCCAGAGGTTGAGGATTGGTCAGTGCTGTGATGGGAATGTTTGGGTACATTAAGAATAGAACAGGGAGGGGACATCTGTTGCTGGCCCTGTGTGAGATATCGTGGTTAGTAGATAACTGCTTTAGTGCTTCTGGGATAGTACACATTTCAAAACAAGTTACATCTTATTACCTTTGTGGGGACTATAAAAGATGACTTCTGAAGGGAAAGAGCTCAAAATCCAGACATAAATCACTGTAGATTGTCAGATGTGGTATTGCCCACCCTTAATCACAGCACTGGGAAGGTGAAGAATCAGGAATCTAAAGCCAGTCTTGGCTGCACATTAACAGACTGGCCTGGAGGGAGGCCAATTCCTGTTACGTTTGGGCTGGGACCCTGTCTGGGCTGGTCTGACTGTTTAAAGAGAAATCGTATTTCCAACTTGCTTTAGTTATGAGAATGAGTTAGAATGTCAAAAGGCCGAGTTTTTGTTTTTGAGAGACAGGGTCTCATTGTAGCCCCAGCTGACCTCCAATTTGGAGATGATCCACAAAGATTAAAGGCCTGTACCACATCGCCTGGCTTACAGGCTTTTGTTTTGGTGGTGGGGACGGGGACATGGGATGGGACACGTTTTCTCTGTATGACTGTTTTGGAATTCAGATTTGCCTTCTGCCTCCGTAGTGCTGAGATTAAAGGTGTGTGCCACCACGCCCAGTCTTTTTGTTGTTTTTAATCTTTAAGGTTTGTCTGGTGCCCTGGTAGTCAAGTATGTTAGCTGGTGGAGATAAACGCTGGACATGGAATAGCGTGACTAGGTGCTTAGGGGCTCTGTGCTTCCACCTGGCAATGCTTTTCAGAATAACCCGTACCTAACCCCTGGCAATGGGCAGAGAGACACCTTGTGGTGGTGTTGTTCTTATATCAGCCAGGGGCAGAGCAGATGGCAGTCCTTTGTTCATCCTAGCTTGATGCCTGACTTGGTGGCCAAAGCTGTTTCATGCCTAGGGCACATTTAAAAAGTTACCTGTTCCTGTGTGTGGTGGTGTACAACTTCAGCACTTCAAGGCAGGGGCTGGTGGGTTTCTGCAAATGTCAAGCTAGTTAGGACTATTTAGTGAAACCTCGTCTTTAGAAATATCTTTTGTAACAGACAGCACAAAAGATGCATGTAAAGGAAGGAGACGTGACACCATAGCTGTCCTGGTTTCTCTACCCTCAACACATGTGTACATACTAAGATAGCAATAAGAGATGTGAAAAAATACCTAACCCTGAGGTTGGCCAGTCCTGGTAATGGTAGTTCCTGGACATGAGGGTGTAAACGATACTCATCCTTCAGGGTGATTCTAACATACAGACCAGGGTGGGAAAGCATCTGGACAGTGAATTGCTGTTGTGGCTGAACTCTGGTGTTTCCCCCAAGCTACTATTCCAGAGTTGCTAAAGGAGAATCAAAGTCTTTTGTTTTTTAAGCTTTGTGGGAGGGACATGCAGATTGTGTGTTTGGCAATAACTGATGAATTTCTTCTTCCAAAGGGCCTGCTATGGTGTGCTTCGGTTTATTATGGAGAGTGGGGCCAAAGGCTGTGAGGTCGTGGTGTCTGGGAAGCTCCGAGGACAGAGAGCCAAGTCCATGAAGTTTGTGGATGGGCTGATGATCCACAGTGGAGACCCTGTTAACTACTATGTTGACACTGCCGTGCGTCACGTACTCCTCAGACAGGGTGAGCAGAACTTGTGTTTGTGGTCTACTGTGGAAGGAGCTGTTACAGGGTCTGTGAAAAATTGCATTGAGATAGTCAAATCTGTTGCTTGTCCTTGCCCTTCAGTGATGATACGATGACGAGTCAGAAAGGTCACGCCTTGCTCTTGGTCCTCGTCAGTGCCATGTTCTGTGGTGCTGCACATGGTTCCTTTGGCAAAAGTGTCCTGTTCATTGATTGATTAGAGGCATTTGTCTGAGAAGGGCTGGGTTGCAGTGCTTTTGAGTAGGTACTGCCTTCTTGCTTTGCTATTGTGTGATGGGAGCTGATAAAACCCAGCTCAGTTCTAGCCCTGTTGTCTTTTAGGTGTGCTGGGCATCAAAGTGAAAATCATGCTGCCCTGGGACCCAAGTGGTAAGATCGGACCCAAGAAGCCTCTGCCTGATCATGTGAGCATTGTGGAACCTAAAGATGAAATCTTGCCCACCACCCCCATCTCAGAGCAGAAGGGTGGGAAGCCAGAGCCACCTGCCATGCCTCAGCCAGTGCCTACAGCATAACAGGTATTGTCTGTGGCAACCTTCCTGGACCAAATAGACCTGTGATTGGTTTGTTTGTGTTTTTTACTGCTAATTCTGATGTTGCACTGTATTTGTTTCTTAATGTGGGAGGATACCAGTTGGGAGTGTGGTGCCCCGCCCAGCAGATCTTTCAGAATGGGTGTTTTCCTTCACTGCCCTTGATCAAGAGTATCCACCCTTTAGCATGCAGCCTTGTCAAGGTTTTAGTAACAAGCTTTGTGTGGGGATGTGTTTAAGGCAAACCCTGCATGGGAGTGTATACCCCTGTAATGAATGGAAGCACTCACATGAGTTTTTTCTTACATTGTTTTATTTGGTTTCAGGAACTTGGCAGCTACATCTGGAGGCTGGATGTTGTCCTGTACAGACACTTAATAAAATCTTGCACAAAGACATAAGGCCTGACTGGATCGTGACTGAGTTATGCTTATCCTGTTGGTTTAAGCTTGGAGGGCTTGAGCAGAGCTAACACAGTTCAGGGTTAGAACAGTTTGGTTTTGCTGTTGTTCTTGATGAGACCCAGGTCCTTGCACATAAGTGAAATAATGTCCCCAGCCTGGAGGGCTATGTGTGATAATTTCCCCCTGGCATGTAAGATCCTTTCTATGAGTCTGACACTGTGTAGATGCCATTGAACCTAAAGCTCAGAAATTTGAAATGTAAGGCTGTTATTACAGCCCACGTTTCTTAGTCTTAGACTTTACCCATGTTTTGGGAAATACAGTAAATTCAGAAATTACTGATAACTTAATTGTTATAATTAATGTCTTTTAAAGCATTTGCTATTTATGTATGTTTTGAAAGAATTAAAGTTAGCTTGGAAACTTTATACTGTTTAGTGAGACTTCCTGATGAAGCTATCAAGGGCCTGGGGTGCAGCCTGACTAGTGCTTTTTCAAAAGGCCAGCAGCCTTCATGAACCACTTACATCTTTATTTCCTTGTTTTATTGTACCATTGCACAGGGTAAGAACTTACCACTGACCATATCCACAACCTATTTTTAAATCCGTGTATGTTGCCAGGCGTTGGTTTCGCACTCCTTTAATCCCAGCACTCGGGAGGCAGAGGCAGGCGGATCTCTGTGAGATCGAGGCCAGCCTGGTCTACAAGAGCTAGTTCTAGGACAGCCTCCAAAGCCACAGAGAAACCCTGTCTCAAAAACCAAAAAAAATTGCGTACATGTTGAGTACAGGTGTACTTTTATGTATAGTGTTCTGCTGACGTGTATGCTTGCATGCCAGAAGAGGGCACCAGATCTCTGATTGTTTTCAGTAGTAGTATTCCCAAGGGGCTATTAGATTTTGATGCTAAAAACAACATAACCTTTGTTTTTTCATCAAAGCTATAGTATGTATGAGGTAAAATTGCAACCTTTGAGGCCACTAATAACATTTGATTAATCTTTGTATTGGACAAATTACTAGCTGGTTGGCAGCAAACCTAACGGCTGTCCATTTTTTTGTTTTTTCGAGACAGGGTTTCTCTATATTGTTTTGGAGGCTATCGGTCCAGCCCGGCCTCGAGCTCACAGAGATCTGCCTGCCTCTGCCTCCTGAGTGCTGGGATTAAAGGCGTGCACCACCACCACCCGGCTTGGCCATCCATCTTAAGGGAATATACTTATTTTGAGGTTTACCTCAGAATTGTCACTTCAGTTTGAGAGTTAACATCAGACCCTAAGTTGGAAGTGACTTAACCACTCCCAAGATGTCATAATCACAAAACTGCAGCCCTGAGTAGCTCTGAAACATGACAGCTGCTCAGACAGCAGGCAAACATAAACTGAGGTGAGGGGTATCTGCTTTGGTGGATGGGTGCATTCTAACAGCCTTTTGTGTAAAGGGTCTGGCTGGGGCTTGGGTTGGCCTCTTGAGTATTTAGATGGGTCATTTGCCTGGGACTCACTACATAGTCTGTCTAGAACTGAAAACGTAAGTGAGCACTCCTTCAGATACAATGAAATGCTCATTAGTTGAGACTGGAACAATCATGAAAAGTAACTGATTCCAGGTTTCAAGTCTGTAATAGGCTCTAGCTTCTTACACTGCTTTTTTTGGTACTTGAAGACACTGATTTTCTTTGTTCCATCGTTGAAACATCCTTCATAGGTCTGTAAACATCAGTTTACAATAACATAGCTTTAAAAACTGGTCACTTTTTGAGTCCGTGGTGGCCTTGAATCTCAGCTCTCAGGAGGTAGAGGCAGGCGGATGTCTAATTTCAAGGCTAGTCTGGTCTATAAAACTGCACTGGCTCAAAAAAGGCCACTTTCCTGGCATGCTTGAGGTCCTGGGTTAAATCTCTAGTAAAAATAATGCTAGCATATTTACACCCAGGCACCATTTTGCAGAGGACAACTTCTGGGAGTCAGTTCTTGGGTCTACCATCTTGCAAGTGTGACTAGTGTCACTAGCATCCCTCTGGAATGAAGTGCCGTATGCTGCACTGATCCCATCTGTGTGATGAGTGAGATACCCTGTCATGGGTAGAGAGAAACAGTGAATTCCACCTGTTTCCAGATGTGAAGGATGGTCAAAACTTGAGAAATGCAACTAGGAAGTGGAAGGGCGCTGTAATTGTTGGTCATTTCAGCTTCATCTAGGCTGACTATTCTCGTGTGTTCTTGTCTTCCTTGCCTGTGTGTTCAGGCAGACAGCACTTGCACAGAACACTACTCAGTATACTAAGTGGATACAATTTAGAAACAGGGACTTTTGGGGAATCTGAATGGGAAGCTTGGAGATCACTGCTTGGCCCTCCTGAAGTAGCTAGCCAGGGGACACGCATATTCTTTAGTTTGTCTTGGATGGGCTCCCATTGTTACTGGGTAGACTTTGCTTTGTCCTAAGTGTCCCTTGGGGTGGGACAGGCAGGCTGAATGGTGCTGGCCTACAATCCTCCCCCTGCTGTCATTATCGGCTGTGTCCAGATGGCCACAATTCTCTAATCTGGTATTGGAGCTCAGCTGGGACCAAAGCCTTTGTGTGTGGCTGTGATGGATCAGCCCCAGGTGGAGAGACCCTGCAGACATGGCCCTCGGCCTTTGAGGATGGGAGAGATTTGGAAACAAGACAGGCTCCTCTTCAAAAGGCAATCTGAGTGCAAATGAGGGTCTGCAGATGGTGCCAGCCAGTACCTAGTACTGCAGCCCGCCCCATCCCTGGGAACAGCCTAGGCATCTGGTGTGTTTCCCCCCTTTTCCCATCCAGCAGCTTGTCACTGTTCTGGAGCTCTGGGCCATACCAAGTGTACAGTGGCATTTTTTCTCACACTGATGTTGGGGATTTGACCAGTCCAGGTGTACCCTGGCCTGTGACTGTGGTGCCTTCCACCACAAAACAAAAATACTGGGCCTGGAGAGATGGCTCAGTGGGTAAACGCTCTTGCTGCAGCTAAGCCTGCTGATTGGAATTCAGTTCCTGAAACCCATGTGTTTGAAGGAGAGAACCAACTTCCACAGTTTGGTCTCCGACCTCCACACAAGTACCTTGACACAGAAGTAAAATATGTGTCTATAGTAATGAAAGGAAATGAGGTAATGGGTGTGTTAACAGCTGAATACAGCTGTTCTCCAAAATTGCTGTTGGGGTCTAATACCCAGTGTCCCAGCATTAAGAATGAGAACAGGTGACATGGCTGGTAAAGTGCTTGCCATGCCAGCCTGATGACCGAGTTGGGATTCTCAGAACTCAAAGAAGGAAGGAGAGAACAGACTCCACAGAGTTGGTCTCTGACCTCCACATACACTTCATGGCATGTACACACATGCACTCACAGTAAGTGGATAATATTTAGAAAACTAGGGTCCTTTGGGCAGATGAATAGTCATCTGGGGGGGGGTGTTAAAGGGAACTTACAAAGTAGAGCCTCACCAGACAGAATGGCTGGCACCTTGCTCCTGGTGCCAGTTGTACTCTCCAGGGTCCAGAACCGATCGATCATATGACAGTCTAAGGAGAGTACAGAGGCACGGGAGTGCTGGCTGGCGAGGAGCAGCGCTATCGATTCCGTCTCGGGACAAAGCAGGCATGAGCTGGAACACACCCAACTCTTGGAAAAGGTTTTATTTCTACAAGAAAAGGGGCAATAAGTTAAAGAACTATTTACATGGAGGTCCCAGGAGGGGAGCCACGTGTCATGCCCAAACTGTCCCCGCCTCTGCTGGCCCAGTCATCTGCTCAGGCTCTGGACGATGGTGACACAGCCATGAGAGCTGGTGCAGCGCTGCAGCGATGGCTGCGCCTCCACCAGCCCGCTGCTAGGATCAAAGGTGAAGACACTATTGGTGCTTTCCCCGTGTTCGTCCCGCCCACCAAGGATGTGGACCTTCCCATCACACACCGTCACGCCACAGCTCTCCTGAGTAGACAAACAGACAGACAGTTAACCGGGATGGAGCCAGGGACTCCCTTGGTTCTTAGCTGGCCAAGCCACATAGCGGAGCCTTGCCCTACAGACTGACTAGGCAACATGAATGGAAACAAAATAAATGGGTGGACTTGACCCTTACTAAATTAAATGGTCTGGACAAGTTGCCTGCTCTGTGCCTTAGGTCTCATCTGCAAGGTTCAAAGACCATCCAATCCACCCTTTTAACTATCATTGTATGTGTATTGTAAAACCTAAGCCATGCCTGGAAGGCCCTATGCATGTGAACCATAAAACAATTCTGCAATCTTTC